AACCAGTATACTTACTTGATTTTTTATCAGTAACTGCGGCTCTGATCTACAAATAAAGAGAGGTCGGGAGAGCTACTTAAGATTTACCTCGCACATTTTATATCGAAACTGGCTATACATAGAAATTGCTTTATAGCTTTCCACACGCAGCTTTCTTTCGAAAATTTTCGGAAAGGGCGTTTTGGTCCCTGGGATAGCAATCTCAGTGTTTCCATGGGAACGCCAATTCAGATATCAATTTTGCACCAATAAATTTCACGAAAAGTTTCTCGATTTGAGCATTCATGGTCTCTAACTCAGGGAGCGAAAAATTCTTCGCGTGGAATCTTTGGAAACTAAGGATAATTTACAGGTAATTAAGCCGTGCAAAAATTTATCTCAAAATAAGTTGTCGCGAAATAACGTTGCTCTAAATAACCATCGTCTACACTATCTATTTCAACAAAATTTGATGCGCCACATACCTTTGAAGCAACATCACTTAAGACAGAAAGACCACCTCGATTATCCGCTATATAAAATAATCAGCAAAACAAGTGACATAAACGACATAAGTTAAATTTCAGAGTGGCTCGTTTTCCTTAAGGATACAATACGTAAAAAGAGTAATGTTAAATCTGAATGCAAATGAATAAAATTACCTTCTACGGTGTCAGTCAAGCTGAATTCATCCCAGTCGATAGCCCTAACAAAAAAAAAACAAAAACAAAACATAAATGATGAAAACCTTCCAAATATTGTAATCACAACCTCATTTAACGTTAGTCTGATGTGAAATGTCATTCAATCAAAAGACATTCACACAAAATCACCTACGCTGAAAAGGATCTTCAAGCTTACGTCTGCTAAAAGATAACTCCTGTTTATGAGGAACACCCAAATCAGAGTATCTTACGAAAACTCAATGTCGCAGATTGTTGCATACCAGCTGCATTATGTACAGTGCAAGGTAAAATATGTAAAAAGTGTTGGCTTCCATACAGAGTGTGACGAATGATCGTGCATATTATCGTGCATTATCAAATACCCCTATCACATATGTGATAGAATAATTATAACTGTGTATATAGGTTGATGATCTTGGCATTAAATTAGTTTTTTGGTTTCTGCTTGATCAAATGTAGTTGTCCGCTGCCATAGCGCTCGTTACACAGAGGTGTACGCGAAATCGATTAAGCAGTGTAGATTATAGCACCCGCAACTCTACGATTCATCTGCCGCTGTGTTGTGCAGTCTATCGTCAGTTCCAGTTTTTACTTTATTAATCTGCACCTAAAGTCAGATACCTGTGGGATCATTCCAGGGAGGGGTTCCTCCGCCGGGAGTGAATTCAGTCCTGATGATGATGATGATGATGATGATGATGATGATGATGATGATGATGATGATGATGATGATGATGATGATGATGATGATGATGATGATGATGATGATGATGATGATGATGAATCTGCACCGAGTCATTTTGAGCTTGAATTCTTCGAAATTCAATCGCTGTGCTGTGGGTTTGAAATTCAAACCATACCTACGAAGTTTCGTTAACATCCGGAATAATCCCCTTTCCGAGTTGCTTTGCCAATAAGAATTAACGTGTGAATTAAAATATGATTACACTTACGGTCCTTGTGGGAGACTTTGTATCGTCAAATCTTCATCAAGATGCGTGTCTTTAGACTTAGAGCCAGACAGATGTTCTGGGAACAACAAATTCATTAATATTGATAAACCAGTCATGTAATACGACAGGTAAAAGTAGTCACCTGAGGATTTAATTACCTAGGCCCAGTTGTTCGTAAGCTGATAAGCTCTAACCCAGGGTTTCTTTATCTCTTTGTTAAAAAGCCTATCACGATACTTTTCTCTAGACTTTGAAAGGCATCCAATCATCAAATTGTAGACAAAATGAATCATACTGAATTTTCTTTTAAAACTTTCAGATCTTAAATCAGATTCAACACTTACCCTGGGTTATCTTAACCAAGTTTTGAACGTGGCCCAAGGTCTAATATAACACAACAACAAGCTTAAAAGTTACCCCTTTGCGGAACGATATGAGCCGAAAAGAAATCAATCAAACGGCCTGCCAAAAACAAACTTTTTGCGCGTTTTCTTCATATCATCGTTTCTAATCCATCAAAAATTTTTTGCATGCCCACGACTGGTTTAACATATCACATGACCGAAAATGCCCCAGCCAAACGTGGGAAATAGGCCGCGGTAATATTCCTTAAGTGATATTTCCCAATTTTCAGACCTACCGTCCACTACAATGAAGTCTTCGTTTAAAACTGAATTTACGACGAAAAAACAATTTGCTGATGTTACAAATGGCGCATAATTGCCTTCGTTCATAAAGTCGTACCAGAGAAATATCTAAAGATATTTTCGCGCCATATAGAGGCCCATCTACCAACCTGGTGTACACTCAGGCTTCCTTGTACCTCTAATCTCGGTCTGTCATAAAACAAATAAATGATTGATCACACAATGATAACATTTTGTCCACACTAACAATAACTGGTTAGATAGAGATCATATTCAATCTGCATTCTCATTGGAGTTCCTAGTCTTATGCTTCAGGATTGAGTAGATTTCATTTTCTTTTTTGCCAAAGAAACGTGTGAGTTCCTCACTAGAAGCAAAACCCCTGACCTCGGTTGCTCGAAAGGATGGATAACGCTATCCGCCGGATAAATCTCTATCCGGTGGATAGCGCAGTGCGTTTTTTTAACACATCCGCTGGATAGCGTTCTATCCTTCCGCCTTTTGCAAAACTGGGCCCATTCCATCAGATTTTGTGGGCTGATGCTTTAACACTGAGCTTAAGAAATGTCAATAGCGTCGTGCGAGATAATAGAATATAAAAAGAAAGTTACTTTTTGAACTCAGATGCTATTCGTTGCGTCACGAATAACAAGTAAACAAAAATCGCCTCGACTGCCTGATGTACCTGACTTTCTTCCGAAACGATGTAAAGGGCTGAATTTCCTTTTAGGATTCTTCTCAATGTTTTTCCATCCCATACACGAGGAGACCCATGAAATTGAAGAGTACTATCCTGGTTACTGATTGATGCACAAGAAAACCTGTTCAGACAAGCAAACTACGTATCAATTTTTACTATGGATTCCAAGCTTGTCACGCTAAACCTTTGTCCAAAGTTCATAGAAGAAATCCAGGACCCGATTGTTTAAAAGGCGTTAGAGATAATCCAGGATTAAAATTTGCAACTCATCCTTGATTTATCTTGAAATAGATTGTATATTAGTGCTTACTTTTGCGGGGTTTTACGTTAGCGTAACATGAAACTGATGTAAAGAATGTCAACAATTAAAACTGTCGGCAAAGGTATGAAACTTAATCGGAGATTTTGGCTGACCCTCGCATTGCGTAAAAGTTCTTTGAACAGCCCGACCTGTTATGGTTAGGGCAAAAGTAGATTTCGGTGCTGAGAAGACAATTCTATGCCTTGTTTACCTCACAGGTCACTATCCCGGGAACACGCCAAGCACAAATCAAAACTTCAAGAGTACCTAATCAAACTTCAAGAATCAACAGCCTCTTTATGCATGAATGGAAATGAGCGAAACTCCCTTGAATATTACGTTTCTGGGGTAAATCACAATTTAATCAGCTGGAAGTACATTTCATCAGGTCAAAAAATTGTATCTGCACTTAGCACTTTTTTTTCGATCAAAAATAAATTATTTCGACTCGTGTATCAATTCAATATTACCTTCCACTCTTGTCTAAGAACGGAAAAGTCTCTTGAATTTTACTCCTCACCATCTCTGCTGACATGTCTTTGGAAAACTGGACGCTTTTTTGATACTGTCTTGTCTTAGGCTTTCTCATTCTTGCCATCTCAATAGTGGTTGGCATGTACACTTTCCCCTCTCCACTTGCCAATTCATTTTTCTTTAACAACATCACATTTCTAAAGTAAACACCCTCTTTTACGGCTGCTTTAACTTTGGTAACGTTCTGAGGAGATCCTCCTAGAAAACAAAGTTATTTAAAGCAAATAGTCTATGGTGAATTCGCCCCAATAAAAGTTCCCCCGCCACTTTTGCGAGTTCGCCCCCTAACATGAAACAAATGGACCTTTGGCTTGAAGATAATAAAAATATTGTTTCAAGAGCAATCCACACAAAAACGGCTCCTTGAGTGCGAAAAGAAAGTATTTCGGAATTCAATATGCGCACTCGGGTGTTGCATTTCATGGCGACAAAAGAAATAACGAAAGAGTTGAATGATTTTGGGGCGAACTACTAAAATTGCGGGCGAACAGGTTTAACGTTAGGCGGTAAACTCGTAATGGCGATTCGGGGTGAACTTGCAATGGAGCAAATGATTAGAGGCGAACTTGTAATGGGGCAAATTCATCAGTTACCATAGCATTTTATCATGCATCTTCACTTTACTTTAATTAAGTAGGGCGCTCACATTAACAACATGACAGTTTTTTTTTTCATGAATAGAGCTTGGCGGAGACTTTACCCTGGATGTCATCTTGATATAGGAAAGAATTCTGAGGCTGACTCGTGTTATACAGATTACAGGAATCACTCATGCAGTTGAACCTCAATTGTCAGGACAACCTCAGAATTTGAAAAAGCTTCCCGTGAGTATCCCTGTCAATTCTTGAGGAGTGGTAGATTAAGTGGTATCTCTATTCAGGGGACAACCACGCTACTAGAAAAACTGCCCCCAAAATAGAGGTATACCTTCAATTTAGATAACAGATACAATAGAACCTCCATTCAGGAGACAACCTAAAAGAGGAGAATAAAGAATCATGGATCTAAGCTTAGGTAACCCATAAATTTAAGTACCTTTAGACGTTAGGGACGTTTCAAATCCTACACCTAAGTCCTCTGACGACAGTGGCTGCAAAGTAAAAATACGTAGTGAATTATTTATGGTTCAAATTTCAATGCTATCTTAGATTTAAATGCAGATTTGGAAATTGTAAAATGCAATGTAGAAGACTTGAAAAATGTTTTCTTGTATTGTAAGGATGTTTAAACAATAGTTTACAGGTAATTAGAAAAAACGGTTCAAGAAGCCAGTGATAAACAATATCAATACTTTTTGTTTCAGTACTTGTTTATAAAAATAAAGGGAAAGGATGAGGCCCTTTATCAAGGAGAAGTAAACACCAATTTAAATTCTGGCCAATTGCAGGGGTGTTCATTTGAGGGGAAGTCCTTACTTGAGGATTTAGTATTATCAGATTTAAATTTCCCAAACCAGATATATCTTAATCTACAGCTTAATACCTCAACATCAGGAGTTGGCAGAGTCGAAGGTCCACTACTTTCTGGCTCTTTCTCTGCAATTGGGAATGAGTCAGTATTCTCAATATCAGATTGTCTTTCTTGATCACCAGACTTTAAGTTTTCTGTCTCCTGCTGGCCCCCCACTAAATCAGTTCTATTACTTTCTGGCCCTCCTTGCTGAGATATTTCAGTGGTGTGCGCAGTTGTTAAGGCCCCGAGGCTTCTTTCTAGGGATGACTCTGCAGTAACGGTGTTCTGTGATTGCTGAGAAGATGCAATCGAATCATCTAAGCTTTGGAGCTGAGGGGTAAGCGTTGAAGCTTGTGGCACTGACTGCAACCCTGTATTGTCAGAGTCTAGCAAAAGTGGCATCTCAAAGCTTTGTTGAGCAGGTACTGTGTTTAAGGCATTATTTCCAACTGGTAGCACAGGAGCAACAGGAATCCCTCCAGCATTAGGTACCAGAATTATAGGTACACCCCCTAAATATGAGAAGAATAACTTAGCTAAAATGAACATTTTCTCCTTCTTAAATCAAGATTACAAACAAAGTAAATAACAAGAACACTTTGTTTAGAGGGTGTACCATAAACCAAGTGATTGAATTTCTAATACACTACACACACCAATTAGGGAAAAATGCTTATCAATTGATTATAAATGTACCAGGGGTAAGGTATCACCTTAGAGAGAACTAGCTTCCATAGCTACATGAATCATTGCAGCTGCTGAATCATGAAGTCACTTGCAGCAATGCCACTCCCCTTTGACAGAAGAGTCTAGCCTACTGCAGTTTTCCCCCAACATCTCATCAGGTTTCTCTTACAATTTGCTGCTACCCACTTGTATTCCTTGGTGGAGAAAACTGTAAGAGCGAAATGACTCTTCCACAAAGGTACCACATTGCCCTAGGTCACTTAAAATCTGACCTTTCAATCTAGATTCCAGTACAGTCCACTATCATTTGTACATACACCTGGAAAACATCATTTTGCTGGCACCTTACCCATTGTATTAGGCAGCAACAAAATACTTTGTGTCACACTTGTTTGCTGCAGATTCATGGGTGGTCTTTCATTTGATAACTCTACTTCACTTTTCTCAGCACCTTTATCAGCCTGCCCTAATACCAAAGTTGGATAACTTGAATTGTTTAGAGATGGAATGTCGTGGATGGGAAGAACACCAGGTAGCTTTTCGGAGCTTGGTTGAGCAGGACTATTCATTGATGATAGTGACATTTTTTCTGGGCTCACACTGCTTGTCAACTCTTCACTTGTCGTAATCTGATCAAATGAACGCTTTATTCCCGTCTGCTCCCTAAGGGACTCATATCCAGAATCAGATTCAGTCAACTCTCTACTTGTTGTAATCTGGTCGAATGAACGCTTCATTCCTGCTTGCTCTATAAGGGACTCATGTTCAGAATCACCCTTTTCATTATCCTAGCACAAATGATACAGTTAGTTTGCCATGATGTTTATAATTGGTGACAGTCATGAAATTTGTACTCAATCCCTCTCTAAGCTCCCCTGCCTTGTGTCCCTCCTCTTATCTGCACTCAGGACTGACACAGTATCAACTTCAGTAGCATGAAGGGTTTATTGCATCAACCTGGACAGGATGCTACTCTGTCACAGATTATCTCCTGACAGGTTGCTGGTGCTCATTCACGTCCCTTTTGAGAGGTGGAAGGAAAAAGGAAATGGGAAGGTTGCAACTGTGAATGCACTTGCCTCCCATTTCTGGGGCCCAAGTTCAATTACTAGATCCCGCGTCATGTATGGATAGAGTTTTAGTAGGTAATAGTTCTTACTCCAAACAAACCCAATCATTGGTAAACTTTCATTGACGCCCCACTTTCCCTCTTCTTCCATACCTCTTCTATAAAAACATAAAGAGCTGAGTTTCCTTTAATCGTTCTCTTGATGTAACGTCCATCCCAAATGCGACGTTCACCATGAAATTCTAATCTTGTGCGTTGGTCAACCACTGAAGCGCAGTAAAACCTGGAAGAAAAGGAGCTAGTATTAACACCTACAGCTTTGATGAAGTATTTGGATTAGATCAGGAAAGCTAATTAAAATAAATACTCTGACTTCAAGCCTAGGTCTGTATTTAATCTTAGATCAAATCAAAGTTTATTACTTGACCCTCCTAAGGGGAAAATGCTTGCCACGTTGGGCGATACATCATTCTCTACTGCTGCCCCGTACTTATGGAATGCTCTGCCAGCTGAATTACGTGATATTCAATCATTTTCCATTTTTAAATGTAAGCTGAAAACTTATTTATTTCGTGCAGCTTTCTCAAAGTACCCTGCCTGACAATTACTTTTATTAGTATTACTAATTACGTTCCTTATTAAGATCCTTATTCCTAATTAAGATCCTCATTATGGATATTCCATATTATTCTTATTTTTAACATACATTGTTAATATTAATGTACATGTA